CCTTCCGATTGGACCCTCCTTATTGCCTTGTACACGGGCAAAAGAAATGCCTCGTTTGATCAGTTCTCTCATGGGGAATCCAGCGGCGCCTCTGCCATCTGACTTGTCATACGACCTTGAGCTGCGGATGTCATGCTGGCGCAAGTCAACAACGAGGAGCGGGAAGCTCTCAAGATGCTCATTAGCTGGGGCATGCCACTCCTTTGAGTGACTCAGGGGGCGCAAGTAGTGGTGACTAATCCTAAAAGCGCGATGGTCCACGGAAGCTATACCGATTCCATGACGAGATTGCCTCAGTTGGCCCTCAGTAACAGTCGATTGCTTAGGATAAGCCATTCGAGATGATGACGGTGGATGATTATCACGAAGCCGTGCGCGCCAAAGTAGAGGGTACGATAAACCTCCATGGGGTATGGGAAGAGACGAGAAGACGGGACGGAAGACGCTCCCTCGACTTCTTCGCCATGCTTTCCAGTACCCTCGGGTGTTATCGGCAACAAGGGCCAGGCGAACTACGCCGCGGCCAACAGATTTCTTGACGGCTTTGCAAGCTACCGGCGATCGCTAGGTTAGGTTTACGGGCCCACACGGTGGACCTCGGCAATGATCGAGGACGCCGGGGTCATGGCTGATCCAACGCTCCAGACTCGTCTCGATACTCGCCTGTGGACGCCGATCAACGAGCACACACTGCGCCAGATCTTGACTTCTTCGAACAAGACGGCATCGAACCACCAAGCGTTGCCCGCGCGGCGATGATCACGAGTATCAGTTATCCCTTGCCAAGTCGATGGCTTTGGAGTTAGCCGGCGACCCAGGTTTCGCGTATCTGTTCAACAGTCATGCAGGAAACAACAGCAAACAGGATGATCGGGCCAAGAGACGTCAACGATGACGACCAAGCTGCCCAGGCAGTCCAGCGGTTCCGCCTCTTGTTGGAAAAGTCCAACGCCGACACGGCGAGCTTGACGGCGGCGTGCGTGGAAGTAGTGTCATCGCAAATGGTCAAGTAGCTCCAGCTTGAGGCGCGTCCCGAAGCAGGTCGGCCTCTGATGGCTTACGGCTTGGACTCGCTCTCGGCGGTAGAGCTCCGGAATTGGATCGAGGGAAGCTGGTCACCATCCTCGACATCACCAGCGCGAGCTCTGTTCACTCCCCCTTGAGATAAACACAGCTCGATGATCAAGAGGATTTGGTGGATGATTGCCTAATTGCATAACAATGTATGCGTGGTTTTGACTACCTACCATGCCTAAGTACATAAGTACCTATGGGTCAACTTTTTTTTAGTAAACCCACGATCAGGTGATAGTGAGTGCTTTAAACCGTAACCCCTGATCGTGGATGTACTTTAAACTTTGACCCAAAGGACCGTACACCCTGGCGCTCTAAGGTGAGAGCGAGGCACATACATACTACATAGTAATGTCGGTAAGCAATTGCAACACCCAAGCCTCTCCACATGACGATCTCCACAAGAGATCTCTTCCACAAACTTCCCATCTGTGTGACAAGATTTCGCCTTGATCATTTCTAATGAACACTCAAGATCCATCCATATAGCTCTTGGCGTGGCCATGGTGTGAACTGCCAAGGCGTCAGTCTCTATCTAGTTTGATACTGTATCACTACCTCCGAGTACTTACATAACGAGCACCTAACTCTACTAAGTACATACAGCATACATTTGTATACCATGGCTGACCCAACCCCACCTTTACTCGGTACCAAAGCCCTGCCGACGGCGGACGATCACACACCCGCACTACTTCCACTACTCCCGAGTTGTCATCTATGCAGGCAGCGGAAAGTGAAATGCGATCGCCACCAACCTTGTTCCAACTGCCTACGGGCCAGGGTCCCCTGCACCTTTCCTCCCGGTGCTGGGAGGGCTGTCAAACGGCCTCGCCAGCCAGTCGACGACAAGGTGCTAAACCGGATTGCCCACTTGGAGTTGACTATTCAGCAGCTACTACAGCAGGCAAGTGAATCACGGGCTTCCGGGAGCACAACATTCTAAGATGGGTCACAGTTGTCCTCGGGTCCTCCAACTAAGGTCATAGACGCCGCAACCGCAACGGACGAAGGGCCGAGTGCAGCACCAACAGCAGCAGCGGCAACGGCAGCGCCACAGGGCACGCTCGTACCAGAACATGGTCGCCTTCTCGTGGGAGAGTCTCAGAGCAGATATGTTGGCAACTTGCTGTGGGCCGACTTGACTGAATCTGTAGGTTCTGCATCATGTCCCCAATGCGGGCATTCAACTGACCTGGTCAAGATCGCCGAGCTCCACGGAATGTTTCTCGGCGATGATTCGAATGACGAGGGCTCTTCGGCTTGGGGTTCCCCGGATGCGGGTTCCCCGGCTTCGGGTTCCCTGGCCCTAGGCTCTTCGGGCACCAATGCCTCCATCTTTGGGTTTAGGTCCATTGCCAATTCTCTGCGAGATTTCCACCCTCCAGTAGAGTTGGCCTTGACTCTTTTTCGACTATTCAGTGACAACGTTGCGCCAGTGACACGCATATTTCACACGCCCTCGTTGAACCGCCTCTTCGAGGATGCAGTTGTTGCAACCGAGCTCCTTGATAGGGAAACAGAGGCTCTGATGTTCGCCATCTATTACGCAGCTATTATCAGCCTAGACTCGGACCAGTGCCTCCGTGTCGTCGGAGAGTCACGAGCCACTACCCTCGAGAGATTCCGATTCGCCGCTGAGCAGGCATTGGCACGCGCCAACCTTTTGAACACGCAGAGTACTCCGTTATTGCAAGCCGCTTTACTCTACCTCTCCGTGCTGCGGTCAGACGACGGAACTCAGGCCGTCTCTTCACTCACGGCACTCGTCCATCATATAGCTCGCTTAATGGGGCTGCACAGAGATGGGGGGTCTTTCGAGCTCCCACCTTTCCAGACAGAGATGCGTCGCCGTATATATCATCAAGTTCTCTTGCTTGACCATCGCTCTAACGATTACCATGGCTGCGAATCTGCCGTGACTGCTAGCATGGTTACCTTCGATACTCGCTGGCCTCTCAACGTAAACGATTCCGATCTCTCCCCTGATATGACGGTTTTCCCCCTGGAGAGTGACGGCTTCACGGATATGACGCTTGTTCATGTTCGATGCCATGCGCTGCGAGTAGGCTGGCAGATTTCCGAGTAAGTCGTCCCACATCTAACTCTCTAGAGGATAGGCTAACCTTAATCGCGTTCTTCAGCGAGATGAGAAAGGCTTCCTCGTTCGAAGCCCGGCTCAAGATTTGTGATGAGCATGCCCAATGGAATGAAAATTACGTGAAGCATTGGAATCCAGCCGAACCACTGCAATTCCTCGCCCTTGGAATTTCTTACATAGTGGCCGCTCGACTGCGCTTTATCACTTATTACACCGAATTGAGAGCAAGGAAGCGGGAGGCACACGCCAGCACCATTCCTAATAGCGGTGCGACTGGCGCACCCGAAGGAGCTGCTATTGCGCCTTCTCCTTCCGATAGACGGCTCGATACCAACACATTGCGTGACCGATTATTTGACACTGCAGTCGACATATTAAAACGGACAGACCATATTATAAGGGATGAGCGCCTCCGCCACTGGGCTTGGCACTCTCATACGTACATCCAGTGGCAGGTATTGGCTCTCGTGGCGTCAGAAATCTGCTCTCGGCCACCATCTCTGCAATGCGATGAAGCGTGGGAATATGCAAAGTCAGTTCATGACACGTGGCTGGATGTTCAGGTTCGCGACGACACAGAACGTGGCAATATCTTCCTCAAGCCCATGGGCCTGCTTATGGCCGAAGCCCGGCGAGTGAGAGATGTGCAGCAATCGGAGGCACGAGGACAGATGCAAGTCTGTATGCCAGCGATAGAGTCAGGCGGTTGGCCTACATCTGCATATAACAACCGGGATCAAATCTCGTACGCTTCCAATGCCTCAAATGCAGATAATACGGGCCACGCATCTCACGCCGCACCGCTCGGTTGCATGGGGACAAGTACGGCGGCTGCTATCCCAGACACATCAAGCACCGCTCCAGCGGCACATAGCGTAGATGGGTTCGACCCCTTTTTCGGCGCATTCTCGTCTGAGGTGCAAAATGCTTGGTACCAGTCTATCGCGCAGGAAAGCATCAGCAACCCCAGTGACGCCATTCTACCGGCAGGTTCCCTTAGCTTTCCCTGATGCACCCATGTCATGGAAGTTGTCATTTCTACCAGTGACTGGGCGGCATACAAATGACCATACCAGAACTGGGCGAGTTCCGTAAACTGTCGTTCACGTACTTACTTATTGTGGAACACCTAACTCGGTTTCAATGCAGAATTTCTTGTTTAGTGTTTACTGAACTCGCACAGGTTTGGTATAGAAATATGTTGGACTGGGAAGTTTGTACAGGTTCTGTCGAGTTCTAGAGGGTCTGGTTCTCCCAACAGTGTAGATATTAGAGATTAATAGAAAATGATTATTAAATACGTTTGCAAATATCCTTTCAAGTTCACATGTGATATGTTTTCTTGAAGCCATATTCTGCTTTCTGGGGAACACTTAAGTTGTCTCCCCTGTCCCTGATGCTTTGAGTTGTATGCCTACCTCTGATGACTTTTATTTATGCGCTTTAAGGGACGGTGTGTCCTGCCCTTCCTCCCAGTTCTCGTATAGCATCCTTTGCTTCCTAGTTAGTAAATACCCTCTTCAAGGCGTGGCACTGCAGACGGCACGCACCGGTTTGTAGAAGAAGCCTAAGACAAACAAACGAGGCAGACTATACTTTCATGTTTACCTAGGTTAGGGAGTTACAACCTACCGCACTTGCCCGAGACAAAGCAGCACCTGCCACCCCTATCTACACATCATGCCTGCCTACATGTAAGTAGTACATGCCAACCTTTGCAGGAACATAAGGTAAGTAAGTCCCTTCCTGCATAGACATATATATCTGCTCTTACCGAACAACTTCCCATCAGCGCAGGAGAGATACGAACAGTCCGAGAAAAAAGACCGAATTGGTGTAGGGGTTAACATGCGGGATTCTCAAACACTTGAAGAACATTCCTGAGCCAGGAGTTCGAGTCTCCTATTCGGTGTTTCTTTTTTTTCTCCTACACTCTCCTTTTTAGGTTCTTTTGCTTTAGGTATGTCTGTTTGTTTTAAAATAATTACTTCTTACTTGTACTTGGTTGTTTATTAGAATCTACAATATTTGTGTTTAATGTCTTTTTTTCTTTATTGATGCTTTTGTACAGGTATACTACTATATTACAATAGGTACATATACCTACAAGTATGTCGTACTACCTGAGGTAATAGTAATGCTGGAGGTGATGCCAAAACTGTAATGTAAAACTTGCTTTTAGGGACTCTATCCCACCCTGAATTGGCAATAAAAAATGATTATGAAGTCGTATTTGTTCTGCATACCTGGCATCGAGTTTAGACCTCTCCTGAGTACTGTCCAGACTGAGGATGACAATCACATCACTTGTCTACCGAACTTCCTGCTAAACATTGCTGAATTGGCGAAGCCGTTCCAGTTTTCCGTCGTAGGGTAAAGCAATTGTCTCCCTGGATGGACCATATACTTTGAGATGTTGGGGCCACGTCATCGGCGCCGGCGTGATGCATGCTATGCTCGTCCTTATATTATCAAACGGTACTCCAGAACAAGAAGGCAGACACATCAACCACCAAAGTCGAAGGTAAGAACTCTCCCTCCCATTCTGGATTCTAGCAACCCGGCAAATAGCTGCGCTCAATTCCCAGGATTCAAGTGGTCAGGAACAGACACCAAAGGGTTTAATTGCAGCCGTAACTATGAAAAAGTGCGAAAAAACAAGCACTGACGAGGGCGCACGATGGAAATGTTCTTCGTTGGCCAAATCGATATGCTGTCTGTCACTACTAGCAACGAACTAGGTCTAACCTAGGTTACTGTTACTGACAATCCCGGAGAAAGGCCGCGCAGAGTTCCATGAACCGCTCCCGTTCGTCATAATGAGACAAATGAGCGGATTTCTCAAGCGTGACCCATCTAATTCTCGAGATGTGGCGGAACCAGGGCTCAACGCAGGCGTCCGTGGCCTCATCGTACTTCCCGTTCAGGAGCAAGACGTCAACTTCGATGTTCTGAGCCTCTCGCCAACCCTCCCAGTCCTTGAAATTTCCGATAATGGTGAACTCAGATGGCCCTTGCCTGTTGCTTAATCTTAGCTTTTTTTTTCTTTTCAACCTAACATGGCAAGTCGCTTTGGATTGGATTGTCACTTACATCGTCATATAGGCTGCGGGGTCTTCCTTGAGATTTCTGAACGACGCCTGCACGGGATCGGGATAGGGGTCAAGCCGGCAGAAATGCCGGGCATAAAACACTGCACTGGCCGCTTCGTACTCGACGCTCTCAAAGTCCCCTTTCTGCTCACATTCTTCGATGGTCTTGCGGACGGCCTCCGGAGGCTTCGACAATAATTCCCTACATCCCTTGATGTATAGGGGAATACTTGCTGGACTACCAGCAAGAATGAGCTTCCGGAGCCCCGCCGGTCTGCTCGAGGCGTAGGAAGCACCAAGCACTTGCGATCATTGTCAGTGTAGTCCATTTCATGCCATAGCTAGAGAAATCAAGAAAATATAATCATTCTCCTTATACGCGCAGATGGTGCCTTTAGGTTTCTTTGGGATACTCACTCCCACCCCAACTTTGTCCGAGAAGGTAGAAGCCCAGCCGGTGTAGCTCGAAGTGGGTAACAAGGTTTTCCAGCTCGTTGAGAAAGAGGTCGAAATTCCAGAATGAGTCGTCTCCCATCTTCTCGGGGAAATGGGTGGAGCGGCCACAGCCGATCTGGTCGTAAAACAGCACGGGGATACCGAGTTCCCGGTACACGTCGACGAGAGGAATCATGTAATCGTGACCAGCTCCCGGCCCGCCGTGGAGAACGAGGAGAGGCGGTCTCTCCAGCTTGCCGTAGAGCTTATACCAGGTCTGGCACGGCTTCGAGATCTTGGGGTCTCGAAAGACGATCGTGCCCTCTACAACACAATCGGAGGCGGACATGGTGGAGTTGCCGGGATGACCAAACAAAAGACACACAAAAAGGGATAACCTAGTTACAGAACAAACCAGCGGCTTTAAGCTTAACCTACTCCCTTCTCGACAAGAAAACAGTTTCAAGAATGTTGGACCTGTAGCAAACAATCCAGACGGTCAGGCGTGAGGTTCAGTCGCCCAATTCGCTGGCTACTTTGTTCAGGGGCGTCGGGGTATCTATGATGTTGGTTGGCCTCATGCATGCATGTTGCAGAGGGCAGCCAACGTTCTACTTCTTATTATGTCCTTGCAGGGCATATCACATGACAATAGGAAAACCTCTGCTTCTGGGCCTTCAAGCCAATATGCCAGAATTCCCGTACTGGACCGGTTGCAAAGGTAGGTATTCGACTTGAACATAGTAAGTTTGCCAGTTAGTATTTCATGTCTTGACTACATATGTAGAGAGAGAGACGTTGGGGTTTTTGTAAATCCCACTTTGATCTCTACTAGACTACTTGTAAGGTACATAATTTGGGTGGGTCCTAGATGCTGCTTAGCTTCGATGCTATGCCCAACATCATCCTTCGATAACGCGTTGCGGCTTTTACATATATAGACGCGTCTGTCTCTACAACGTAGCTGTTTCCAGGAGACAGCTTCTAGACTAGACTACTAGGCGCAGAATAACCTTGTCTGCTCTATTTTTAGACCTCAAATTCGACATCCTATCCCGCAAACCATAGCGCCGGACACATCTAAACCGAACAAAAAACTTATTACATAAAGTTCGGACATGGGCACCCAGCGCAGGCCGGCAGCATCAGGAACAAAGTTTTCAGGGGAGGACTTAGGACAACGGATGGTTTGATTTCAGGATGTTGATTCCCGGGGCTGGCATCCCGTCTGCCTACCTCTGTGGTTACCTGTCATGATTACCTGTGGTAATCTAAAAAGATAGTAAAATAAAAGACATTAAAATTAAAAAAAAGTCTATAGTTAACGTTGCCTACAACCCCCATCAATGCGGGACAAACCGCACACATTCTGTGATGGATGAGACAAAAACAGTACATCTCTCTCTCTCATCCTCCCCCCTGCAGCAAACAGCTCTATACAGAATTATTCAATTTGCGTTGTGAACGGACAAAAAAAAAGCAGCAAGGACAAGCCGAATACGCTATTAACACCTAGCGCCTGGTTGGGTGGGCCCAGTATCCTAATATCTAGGCGGCCTTTCGACAAAAGGTGATATTAATATTCCTGTCCGCTCAATTGCCAGCCTTTAGCTGAGTAATGATCATGATGTCACTCTAAAGTTAGAGGCGTCTTCGTATCGTCGTTACTCGTTCCTCATTAGTATTTCCGTCATTGCCACCCAGACTGGGCAAAGCCGGGTATATTTGACGGCATCGAAAAGTCGGGCATTCCGTACTGCTGAGGCATGGGATAAGGCATGGTATGGGGTGTATAATGCGCCATGGGCCTTCCATAGTCTGGGATGAGCAATAACAAGTCCATTTCTCCCCCGAAGGCAACATCGGGAAACGCCGTGGGAAACTGCCGGTCCACGTCTACGGCCTGCAAGCTATCGTAGATGTCGGAGGGTTGATACAATGATGGGTTGGAGACTAGATTATGTGGTGCCGATTGGGCGGGCGTCGAGGTTGCGGGGCCATATGCCGTGCTGGCCGCGGGGACTTGGGGTGGTGGCGTCGGTACAGGTGTCTTGGCCTTAGCCCTTTTGGGCATGCGGGCGTCCAGCTGTCTCATGATGGTAATAAGCAGCGGTGGCGCCAGAGTCCGACCGTTCGCCGCCTCAGCGGCTTCCCTGGCGTCCCAGGCCTTCACGAAGAGAGAGGCGAAAGCGAGGTGCAATGGCGTGTGCGTAACGGTCGTCATTTGCCTACTGTCAGCGTGTACAAAAATAGCCTTCCAGGCCCGTTCGCACAGGTCGCCGGTCGTCCGGGTCCGAAGCTCGCATAACAGACAAACGTACGCCGGAAGTGGAAAGTGCATCTTTGTATACCATAGGAACCCCCTGAGTTGTTCCTGAGTCTGTAACTCAGTGTCAAGCTCAATCATTGCTATTGCGTCCATCATGAGCGCCTCGCTTTCGGACGTCGGCAATGGCTTTGGAGCCATCAGGGCTACGCGGAAGAACCCAGAGAGGACCTTTTGCTTGCAGATATTGGCCCTTGTCATGAGGACAGTCATGTAGTGAATCGGTACTTTCACGTCGCAGTGCTTCAAGTACGTGTCCTCCATGTAATGCGCGAATTGGTCAAGGTAGCTCAGGAGCCGATGATCGGCTAGGTTGGCGACGGCTTGTGGGTTGGCGGCAGCTCGCTGGGCCCGCATCTTGTCGTGGCCTGGCGCTTTAGCGAACTCGAGCCGGGTCAGGCTGAAGATCATCTCTGTGGGGCCAAGGTGTGGAGTTGGGGGGGCCTTGGCCTGAGGATGTAGGTCCGCATCATTGATATTCAGCGGCAGCTTGCAGTTTCCTCCGGTGGTAATGGCCGTGATGGTCGCTCCACACATCTCTCCAATCCGCCTGTCAAAGCCAGCGAGGTTCCACCAAAGCCGTCTCCTTTGCTCAACCTCGAATGGGGAGAATCCGAATTCGGCGCCGTCGCGCTGCAGGCCGACGCGCTGGGCCAGCCGTACCGCCAGTCCGGTTAAGCAGAATAGCCATCGGGGGTCGGTATAATGCCGGACGCCAAGCTGGTACTGGTTAGGATTAGAAGAAAGACCACGCACGCGGGCAGGGGTCGTACCAAATAAAGTAAGTAAGCCTGCAAGACTGTAAGGTCGGGCTCCCGCAGCAAACTGGAGTTGAACAAGGCCTGCTGTGCGCCATGCTGATACTTGGCTAGGAGATGGGATCGTGAATCGCCAAATGTCTGCTCAACCTCCTGCTCGCTAAGACTAGTGATGGCCATGAGGTAGATGGAGAACATCAGGGCTTCGAGGCTTTTCGACACCTTCTGCAGGTTCTCCCCGGCCTCAATAATCTGGAGCTGTAGGGATGGCGTATGCGTAAGCTTCAATATGGGGTTGACG